TATATATATATATATATATATATATATATATATATATATATATATATTAAAAACTTGAAAAAAAATTAAAAAAAGGTTGACCAATCACACGAGGAGAGAGAGTGAGGGATAGCCTCCCCTTACCCTTTCCCCGCACCCCCTTTCCCGCAGCCCCGATATGGTGTTCCGAGGTGCGGTTCCCTTTCCCGCTCCATATTCAGCGGTTTAGATGCATAAATACGCTGAAGTTAATTATATATCAAAGGTTCCTTATTCCAACATTTTTGGTTTACTTATGTATGCAATGCTTTTCTTTTCTCCCGGTTGATCCCGTGTACCGTGTATTGTAAGTCTATTTATGGGAAAACCTAGTGAAGAGCACTTAAACATAGTTTAGTGTATTTATAAATACTTTCTCAATACATATACCGACTTGTTAGGAGTTTTTAAAGTCATAAGAAGGGCTTGTTGGCTTTCTTATTCATATTTTAGGATTTAGACAATAAGGTCACTCACATGTTATGTTTTCACTAGTGGTGAACCTGATATGAGCTGGAAAGTAACTTAACAATCTATTGTAGCCTTTTAGATAGTTGAAGTTTATCAAATGGTGGTTTTTGAAGCATGCAAAAAAGTACTTAGATAAGAGGTTTTTATTATCATATTTGATGATATATTATTTCATTTCCGTATATATTTTGTGAAAGTCAAACTGGTATAAGCCTTACCAATAATTCTATGTTTCATGAGAGAACAAAGCACACTGAGATTATACATCAATGTATGAAAAATAAGTACATATAAATATATAATAACCCTATTTCAATGATGACAAATCCATTTCTTGTTTTAAAGTTTGAACTTTACTCAAAATTTGGTTGGTGCTCAAGTGCATTCCGATGAGGCATGTGTATGAAAATCAGGATAAAATAGCCTTGGAAATTCTGAGAATTGCGGTTTCACTTTCAGATTAAAGTATTTGGGTGGTACTCCCAATCTTTAATCGGATAAGACTTAGAGAGACAAGAACAAAGAATGTTTGATGATATTTTTGTATGTACCAGAAATGAGACCAAAAACCAACTTTTAAGATCTTTGTCTGAAAACTGTCATATGACAATTTTAAACTGTCATAAAACTATAAAAACTGTCATAAAAACGGATATATGGATAAGGGTCAAACCAATGGTCTGTTATCTGAAAAATCAATTTTCTGAAAACTGCCATATGACAGCTCGACCCCAGCCAGGGGCTGCCGCCCCTTGGACCCCGCTCCCAGGGGCGCTGCCCCCGGACTCCCGTTCGTTCAGGGGCTTCGCCCCTAAATGACAACGTACTTTGAAACTTGATCAAACTTAAACAAGTGTGTACTCCACACCTTCATTACTTATTTAATATTTATCAAGATCACTTTTTGTCAACAAAGAAATCCCATTACACTTAAATAACATTGATGATAAGAAATCGCCAACATCATGTCAAGTATCAGATATCCAAGGAGATAAATTTTTCGTTGTTTCTTCGAAGAGGGAATTTTTCTCAATATTAATGTTATTTATTTGGTGATCCAAATTCCTACTAGTTGTTATAGCATTTCCCTTATTTTTTTTCTCCAAGTATTAGGAAATTTATCTTATTATTTGTTAGAATTGGTAGGTATGACGTTGGCATTAGCATATGATTCTGGTTACTAGTCTTTAAATAGGCTATTACTTTCAACATAGGCATCCAAAAATCATATCCTTCCATTAATTTTCTTGAAATGTATCATCCCCTACTTGTTCGATTAATAATATATCATCTTGTGCTTGGTGGATTTTCTTGAAAATGTTTCCATCTTAAAATCATTTGTGTTGTTTTCTATTTATCTACTTCTCATTTAGCAGAATGGATATTACAAAAAACTTTATTTTATGAATGAGATCATGATCCTTTAGTTGACAAACGTTATCATTTCGAAAAGAGTTTTCATTGGATTGATGGCTTCCCATCATTACTTTTATAGTAAGTTTTATAACTTATTGTTATTAATTAGTATCTATTGCCATGATATATTTGTATTTACATAAAAAAATGTTTTATTTATAAAATTTCCTTCTATTTAATGTGTTAATGCTCATAGGCCCGTTCAATTTCAACTATGCAAATTCCACTCCAGAGAACCCCGTGCTCGAGATAAATCCTTATAGTTGGACAAAGGTGTGTCTAGTTGTTATTGGATGCTGATGTTTCCAATATACCTTTCTATAATTTTTTTGATGTTAGCGAGCTAATAGGTATAATTTTAGTGATATAATAAAATCACTGTTAAAATTATAGGTGGCAAACATAATTTCAATTGATCAACCTGCTGGGACTGGATTCTCATATGCAAAATATCCAAAAGCTTACATAACAAATGATACATTATCATCAATGCTTTGTTACCAATTCTTAAGGAAGGTAAAGTAGTTTAGGTATTTAAATTATCACCGATAGACACTTCCATGTACAATTTTCAATGCATACACAAAAGCTCCACCTATGTGCTTAAAAATAGATACAAACTAAAATCGATTTTTTCCCAACAGTGGTTTGATGATCATCCTAGATTTATCAAGAATCCGTTATATGTTGGTGCTGATTCCTATGGTGGCTTATTTGTTCCAATGATTGTTCAGGAAATATATAAAGGTATTTCTTAATATCGAACTAAATAAAGATATTTCTTATGAGGGGTCATGTCGAGATACATTACTTTTTAGCTTGTTTTTTTGTAGGTAACGAAGTTGGAGAAGAACCACATATCAACATCAAAGTATGCATGATTAATCTGTTGGATCAATCCAATTTCATATTTTTTTATTAGTGTATACCTTCTATTAGTTCGTTATTAAATTATAAAATTAAAAATTTGTGCTTCTTAAGCTTGATTGCATTGGATTTGACCATGATAATGCCTGAAAATAGTATTATGTAATCTTTTCATGGATCACTGTTTTGATATATGTTTTACTACCTAGGGGTATATTATTGGTAACCCTGTTACAGACACAAGTGCAGAATATAATTTTAGAATTCCATCTGCTCATCATCTAGCACTCTTATCAGATGCCATCTATAAGGTAAATAGGAATATTTCAGTTGTTGTATAATATAGTTAATGTGTGGATATCAATTTCTTATTGAATTCTAGGCACTTCTTGTACCCACTAATATTAAAATATATACATTAATTAAGTTGTTAATTCTTGCAGTCAGCAAAAAGAAATTGTCGAGGGGAGTACTTGAATGTGGATTCCAACAATAGTCTATGCATACATGATCTTAATGTGGTAGATAAGGTACATGAGCTAGACTTCAACTTTGATAACTTTCTATATGGTAACGTCATCTCTTAAATATATAATTCGGTAGATGGTTTCTTATTTTTTAAATGTAGTGCCTCAAAAGAATTCAAATGGAATACATTTTAGATCCATATTGTGGCCCTTCAAATACCTTCAAACCTTCTCTTTTCAAGAGGGACTTAAGATCTATTGAGAAGATCTCCATGGATATGGATATTTGGCCATTACATCAAGTTCAAATGGAAGGGTGTAATGTATTACTGTCCTCTCTCTCTCTCTCTATCATATATATATATATATAT